GTAAGATTCCGAGACATCTGTGCAAGGCTCAGAGAACTGCTCGACCAAGTGGTACCGTGTGCCAAAGGAGGGAAACTGCAGTGCAGGTGAATTCAGAATCACTCCTGGCTGTTCAGTGACAAAAGCAACAGGCTGCCCGCTTACCAAATGCCACGTTTGCGACTTTGACATTCACTAGACAGCCAGACTTACAATCAACTCAGAATACACGTGCATAATATGTGAGTGGTGTCAACGTCACGCCAAACGGGCTTCCAAAGGATTTCTCCTCTACGATTCTGACCCACCTTTCAGCAGTCTCGGGTCTGCGCTGCGAATTGCAAGCAATGCGAGCGCTGGGGGACCGAGCTTGTCGTTGTAGAACTTCCAGTCTGCCACGGTCACCTGATAGCCTTCCGGAAAGTTGCGGGCGCGTGTCCTAATGCCTAGAGCCCCCGTTGCTGCAAGCCACTTGAATTGAACTATGTGGACAAACCGTGCATCTTCTGCCTGCGAGTTTCCAACTTGGCAAACCTGTGCATCCATCAGAAACCTCTTACCATGATGCAATCTCTGCCCTGGAAGTTGATCGCAAGCAGCCCAAAGATTCAAGAATTCCAGCACACTCTCCCTATAGTGGCCTTGCCAATGTGAAGTCTTGAGGTTGGTCGTCTACACGTTGCCTACCAGTACTGAGAGAATGACAGGAACTTGGCCCACAAGCAGCCAGCATTCAAATACTTTTTGCCGGTTGAAAGGTCCACCGTGGCAAAAATCGGAACACCCTTCAGAAAATCCATCTACCTGAAACAAATCAATTCTCCAGCAGCCAGCACTCCCAACTGCTTTTTCTCAACCATGCCACCAAAATTCCCTACGGCTGTCCAAAAAGCAATGACTGCAGTTGGGACCTGGGTGCTGAAGACGGATTGCTGTTGGAGCAAACCAATCCACCAAAACACGAAGCCGGGTTTCGGTTTCCCCGCTAAACTAATCCCGAAAGCACGAAGCCGGGTTTCGGTTTCCCCGCCAAACTAATCCCGAAAGCACGAAGCCGGGTTGCGGTTTGCCCGCTAAACTAATCCCGAAAGCACGAAGCCGGGTTTCGGTTTCCCCGCTAAACTAATCCCAAAAGCACGAAGCCGGGTTACGGATTCCCCGCTACACTAATCCAAAAAAACGACACTTATTGCTTTAAGAGCAAACCAATCCAACAAAACGACACTGATTGCTTTTACAGCAAACCAATCCAACAAAAAACGAGACTGATTACTTCTAGAGCAAACCAATATAAACCAATCCAACAAAAAACAACACTGATTGCTTCTAGAGCAAACCAAACCAACAAAACGACACTGATTGCTTCTAGAGCAAACCAATCCAACAAAAACGACACTGATTGCTTCTAGAGCAAACCAATCCAACAAAAACGACACTGATTGCTTCTAGAGACGACACTGATTGCTTCTAGAGCAAACCAATCCAAAAACAACGACACTGATTGCTTCTAGAGCAAACCAATCCAACAAAAAACGACACTGATTGCTTCTAGAGCAAACCAACCAAAAACAAAAACGACACTGATTGCTTCTAGAGCAAACCAATCCAACAAACGACACTGATTGCTTCTAGAGCAAACCCAACAAAAACGACACTGATTGCTTCTAGAGCAAACCAAAATCCAACAAAAACGACACTGATTGCTTCTAGAGCAAACCAATCCAACAAAAACGACACTGATTGCTTCTAGAGCAAACCAATCCAACAAAAAACAACGCTGATTGCTTCTAGAGCAAACCAATCCAACAAAAACGACACTGATTGCTTCTAGAGCAAACCAATCCAACAAAAAACGACACTGATTGCTTCTAGAGCAAACCAATCCAACAAAAACGACACTGATTGCTTCTAGAGCAAACCAATCCAACAAAAACGACACTGATTGCTTCTAGAGCAAACCAAACCAACAAAACGACACTGATTGCTTCTAGAGCAAACCAATCCAACAAAAACGACACTGATTGCTTCTAGAGCAAACCAATCCAACAAAAACGACACTGATTGCGTCTAGAGCAAACCAATCCAACAAAAAACGACACTGATTGCTTCTAGAGCAAACCAATCCAACAAAAACGACACTGATTGCTTCTAGAGCAAACCAATCCAACAAAAACGACACTGATTGCTTCTGGAGCAAACCAATCCAAGAAAAACGACACTGATTGCTTCTAGAGCAAACCAATCCAACAAAAACGACACTGATTGCTTCTAGAGCAAACCAATGCAACAAAAACGACTCTGATTGCTTCTAGAGCAAACCAATCAACCAAAACGACACTGATTGCTTCTAGAGCAAACCAATCCAACAAAACGACACTGATTGCTTCTAGAGCAAACCAATCCAACAAAAACGACACTGATTGCTTCTAGAGCAAACCAATCCAACAAAACGACACTGATTGCTTCTAGAGCAAACCAATCCAACAAAAACGACACTGATTGCTTCTAGAGCAAACCAAACCAATCCAACAAAAAACGACACTGATTGCTTCTAGAGCAAACCAAACCAACAAAACGACACTGATTGCTTCTAGAGCAAACCAATCCAACAAAAACGACACTGATTGCTTCTAGAGCAAACCAATCCAACAAAAACGACACTGATTGCTTCTAGAGCAAACCAATCCAACAAAAACGACACTGATTGCTTCTAGAGCAAACCAAACCAACAAAACGACACTGATTGCTTCTAGAGCAAACCAATCCAACAAAAACGACACTGATTGCTTCTAGAGCAAACCAATCCAAGAACACGGATCCGGGTTTCGGTTTCCCCGCTGTCACCTTGCCTGGAGCGCCGATCTTGCTGGACACCAAGGTGTCGTTGAGATCGAAGCCGGCAATCTGCGACACGATATCTCAGCCAAAACACTAGAGGTTGAGGCGCATTTTGGATGGCTGCGAGCGAGTTGTTGGCTGAATTGACTTGTTTCTAGGCTTGATTCCTTTTCCATTCTATTCGGCCATCGTTCTTTTCAAACAAAATCAATTTCCCCCTGGGTTTTGGGGTGGTTTTGCAGAAAGAAGGATGCCTGAAAAGAATGGGGAAGGACCCCTGGAAAAACCATCCCAAACTGCACCGTCCCTGGTGAAATTTGTTTGTTCGGGGTCGTAGGTCCGGTTCTTCGTGTTCAGGGCGAGTTTGGGGTTGGTTGCCCGAACGCTTTTACTGTAGCCCTGATAATGGAGACACATGCGCATGGCTTTGTTGTGTGAGACAATATCATGGTGGGTGTTGCGATCAAGAAGAAAACAGGCAGGCGCGAACAAACTAGTGCATGTGGCGTACAAACTGGTGTCCTTCTTCCACTGCATAAAGCCCGGACTCCATTGACTTCGGTGCTAGCCGTGACCTGGCCTGCCACGAACTCAAACAAGAAAGGACAAGGTCAGCTTCATGATGATCCGCCCAGGATTTGGGACTTCAGCTTCGGTCGCACCACAGCTCAACATTTCTTCCATCTTGGGGGTCTGTGTCAAGTGTCGGGTGAGACTAACACCCAGCGTCCTAAAATGTCACAAAGTCAGAGGCCTTGCCAAGGCACAAGGGACTCCCTGCCTTGGTGCTCGCCTTGCTAGAAGCGTCCTGCGATGGCAAGGAGCCGCCAAGTGAGGCGCTGGCGACTGAGCTTTCGAAAGCCAACTGCCTATCAAGCAAGTCGCATGTGTTATACCCAGAGTCGCCATGACCCTTGAAAAATGGTTGGTCATTACAATAAATAATGGGGCCATGGACCTATTTTTAAAGGGTCATGGAGACTCCAGGTAGATCAAATATTTGTGTTTTGTAGGACAAGGACTAAAATATATATTTTCTTTCAAATAATGATATCCTCCCACCGATTAACGTGGAACCTGACAGGGGGGTCCTGGCACACTATGTTCCTTTCAAAGGGACTTCCATGCTTGTTGGCGGGAGGGTACCTAGAGTCTTCATGACCCTTGAAAATGGGGTCATTACCCTAAAAAATGGGATCATGGACAAATGTTTAAAGGGTCATGGAGACTCCAGGTAAATGTATTTATATTTTGGACTGGTTGCTCGAAGCGGCCAACAGGCAGCGGTCCTCTCGCGCCAAGAGAGAGGCCCCCGCCTTGCGCCATGGCGCTCTCCCCAGCGCCATGTGGCTTCACATCCGCGATGCGGGGAGTTCGGCGGAGATTTCTTGGTTGTACCGACCCACCTGCAAAAAGTGTTGTTCACTTTTTTGGGGGGGTTAGTTTGGAAACCCAACTTGACTTAAACCAAAAAGTTCAAGTCTGAAGATCCGTTGCCCCACTATGACGGGGGCTTGTCTAGCTAACTTTGGGACTTAACCGTGTAGTCCACCCCTTAACTCTGAAGATCCGTTGCCCAATAGCTAAGAGATGTCAGCTGCTTCGTGCTCCTGTGGAAAGGAGATCCATGTTTTCCTTTTGCGAGGTCAGGCGCTGTTGCTCGCAAGCGCAGCTGCGGGCTGCGAATATGATGTGCGCGACTTGAAGCGGCCATGCGCAACAAGGAATCTGTTGTTGTTTGAAGATGAAGCGCGCGAAAAAGCTGCCACCAATCCACCAATCATCAAACTTGCTTGGGCTGCTGGGGTCCTGTGAACATTCATGCTCATGCTCATTCCTCTGGAATTCCACCCCAAGGTTCCGAAACCAAGCAGGGCACACAGGGTGGACTCAAGTCGGGAAGTGGTACCAGCTTGGCGGGCGATTTCTTGTCCATGTGCACGACTTTTGCAAGTCTGGCTCTTGATCGGGCCGCTTGTGCAAAGCAAACGCAAAAACAAGCAAGAAAGAAAGAAAGAAAGAAAGAAAGAAAGAAAGCAAGCAAGGCAAGGCAAGGCAAGGCATGGCATGGCATGCCATGCCATGGCATGGCCTGAACTGGCAGCACACCGTAGTCCCGTTGGGCAATGCAAAATTGTGGCGACGTTGGTCAGCCTTGCTGGTCGCTTCACTGAGAGCCCCGCTGCGTCCGTGTGCTGGTGCTTGGCGGATGCAGGTTGGTACCTGCAATAAGAAATCATAAATGTTCAATCAAATGCCCCAGCACACAACCAAACCGGGCGACAATGTATCTTATTCTCACAACGATTCTCTGAATTCTGAATAATGCATGTGTCTCTTCTTGCAATCAACAAGCAAAGCATGCTGCCAGACCAGCCAAATAAAGCAAAGCCCATCTCGAAAGCCTTCCTTCTCTGTCAGCGTGCCTGATAAGCGAAGCCCGCAGCCGCAGCCTGACCAAGACAACCAGCCGTCAAGACCGTCAAAGCTCCCTACATTTTCCCTTTCAGCCCCTTTAAACATCAGGGAACCAACCGCAAAAAACATATGGCCGGAACTGGATGAACTCCTCTAGATGTACAAAACATGGGTTCGTGCCTTTTTAACTTGAAGGTGGGTTTACAGAGAAATCAAAAGGAAGACCACCATTTGGGGCAGTCCCCTTTGACGCAGACTGAAATGTAACACTCAGGCATCGTAACCACGACATCTCGCCGCTTGATTTCCTGAACTGCGGGCTTTTAGATAGCTTGAAATAGAACCCGAAAAGGCCCCCAACAGAGATTCCATACTGTGGGTGGACTAAGTCCTGCACCACTTGGAATCCATGAGAAACCATTGTTTATTGGTATTTACAGGGGAATCATCCTTCCAGGGTTTCTTAGGTGGTGCGAAATGGATTTCGTCCATCCACAGTACGACAATCTAATACCCACTCCTTTCTTTCCGAAGGCTAGCCTTTGGGTTGGTTCCATTGGGCGTTCCAACTTGGGGACACCCACTTTGCTTCCGTTTGCTTCTTCGCGCCTTGGAAAAAAAAAAAAAACAAAAACTGATCTCCAGTAGGAATAGATTCCCTTCAAAACAGTTACCACTATAGTAGGCAACCATGGGACACCATGATGTAAACACCTAGAGGTAGTCCTATCTGTTTGCTTGCCTTCTATGCCTTGCCTTCCATTTCCATTGTTTACAGGGATTCTTATTTCTAGAAAACCCTCCAGAAACCCCCACAGAACACGGCGAGGGTGTTTCGAAGCAAAGGTCCTGTACACAGGTTCACCATCGGGAAAACAATGAAAAAGAAAACTTGACATTTCTATCACACGACAAAAGTCCCCCATGGCCAAACCTTGCAAACCTTTCAGGGAATGCACTGATCAACCCCCGGTTGGAAACCTAGGTCCTCCTGCAGAGAGGTTAGAATAAGGGTACCCTACCCTCCCCCAAAAAAGAAAGGTGCAAGGGCACCTAGCCGGGGGACCTAGAAGGACAGGGGTTACCTCCAGAAAACCCCCACAAAAAGCGGCCGGTGTTTGATGCCCCCGAGGGATCTGGCGCCTAGGACCGCTTTGGCCGCCAGGCGAAGCTGCGTTTTGGGGCACAGGAAGGCAGCTTTGGACCTCGGCTTCGGGTCGGAAGCGAAAGTCGATCCGTGGGGAGGAAACACGAGCGCTGGAGGCCCTTTTCTCTGTGTTTTTCCGGGTGCTTTGTGGTGTTCCGGGTGCTTTGTGTTGTTCCGGGTGCTTTGTGTTTTTCAGGTGCTCCGTAAACAAATATCAGAATATCAGAATATCTAATACCCATAGGAAAGATGGGGCTTGATCAGTTTATTCACTTTTAAAGGCCCCCAGTTTTGACGAGGAACTCTTCCCACATGGTGAAAGTTATCATTTTGTGTGGGTTCGCTAGTACTCCCTGGATTTTCGGACCTTTTTGGTGGGGTTTCAATCACCGGCAGAGGGCAAGTGGCAAATACCTGCGTAACCCGCAAACAACTCATTAGTGGGAAGCTGACTATAGGCGCCCAACCAATTAGAATGTGGTTGTGAGGCATATAAAACAATTGTTTGTCATGATCATGAGGGAATCATGTATGCGTTTTTTTGCTCCTTGTGTTACTCCCCTCTAACTTAATTTTAGCAGCATCCATCTCTTGTCTAATCCACTTGTGAAAACAACGTCTTGAGTTCCATGCTCACTGAGCTTTTTTGGAAGACATGTTGCTTTTGAACATGGGGTCTGCGCACTTCCATGATTGTTGGTGGCAGAAGGACTGCCGAAATACACTAAACTGCCATCAACGGCTCTCTTTGTAAGGCCCCTTTCTGGCTGTTTGTGGCTCGTTGAGTTTCCGGAATCTCGCCGAAGTCTTCTGTCGGGGTGATGACTGCACAAGGTCGGTGCAATGGCAAAAGCCAATGCTGCTTGGTGTGGACCCCTTCAAACTGCCAATACTTCACCGGTCGTCCTCACAATGCTAGTTGCTCGGCGAGGGCCATGACTTGTGACGCATTCATCGGACAATGAGAATCACGCCCACAATCAAAAGAAGACTCCGCAAGCATGCAGGATTCAATCCTGTGGCAAGTCGTCACCTGTAATCACCGGTTTGAAACTCAGTTTTTTCTTAATCTTTGGACAATTGTTCAGTTGGAATCGAAAGACACCCCGCCGGACTTTTAAGATGTCGATTTATCGTGCGAAGAAGGGCTGGGTTTCTTCTGCCCCTGCCCCGTGCACCTTTCTAACGCGGCTGGTGCTCTCACTGGGTGTGCTGTACTTTCTGTGGCACGACTTTCAGTAGCTAGATGCTGTCTCTTCGGCAGCGAAGAAATGATATCGTGCCACGCGCAAGCTTTCCAGCACTGATCTGCTCGAAATGGGTGTGTCTCAAAACAGGTAAACTTCCCCCCCCCCCCCGCCACTGAAATGGCCGGCTTCCTCTGGTGTCCCGGGCAAACACGTAGTGCTTTCTTCTGCATCCATCTTGCAGCTTTCTAAATTGTCAAACCACCAATATGAACAGCTCAGACATCTAGCAAGTTGCTCGCTTTTTGCATCATCTACAAAGGGAGGCTTCCATTTGCTTAAGCCCCCTGGAAAGAATATAATAGGCCCAGTAGTGACAGATTCCCTGTGGAACCAACAGGGAACAATGAAACATATTCTTAAGAAGCAAATGGAAGAAGGGCACAATCAGCAAAGCAAATCTGCAACACCTGACGCAGGTGCCGATATGTTAAGCCACCTCCCAAATCATGGCATGAGTACTTTGTCCACAACCATCACTGACCTCTCCTTCTTGTGACCAAATGGGTCTCTGTTTCTTGAGGGTACCTGGAGTCTCCATGACCCTTTAAAAATAGGTCCATGAGCCCATTATTTAGGGTAATGACCCCATTTTTAAAGGGTCATGGAGACTCTAGGTACTCCTTTTTGGTGGGTTTAAAGGGAAACCAAAAGGACAAGGGCCTGCGCATGTCCTGCGGGGTCCGATTCCATATGAACATGTACCCGAAGGACAGCTTCGGTGAAAGACCGTGACTGGAACCAACGCAAACGGAATGGCGCTCCGACCGAACATGACCTAATGGGTGAGGATGAGCAGGCAATGCATCGATGTATGCCTGGACAGTGCTTGTGAGGAGCCACCTTTTTGTTCAATACGTGGACTCAGAAGGAACAATCTGCAAATGTCCGGCGATTCAAAAGTTACCAGGGGGGGCTCACAGACTTCATGTCTCATGTTGGGTGCAAGGAATGCTGCAAGGCTGTGGCACGCATCACAGCCTCCATCTCAGCAAATGGAGATGTGCTTTGGCTGTGAGAAAGCGGGGACACCGTAGCTTGAAACACTCCGGCGTAGTCTCTTGACCATTCGGCTGCCTGAGGGCGATCTTCATTCAAGAAGTGGGGGTTGGCTTTGCATGGCATGACCATTGGGGAAAGCCCCAAGAAAGCTGACGTTTCCCAGACGGGAAAAGTTACCCATGGTCATTTGGCGGACAAAGGAATATAGATGAACCCCTAAGTGTTGCCATGCACCATGACTTGACAAATATCTCAGGCTGCAGCAACGAAAACCCTCCTACTGCTTTCGAGGCTGCACGAGCGAGGTCGTGGCCCCGTGCATTTGTGTCAGCACCTTCCGGTTGGAGACTGCACTGGGCTGTCCGTTTTCAGATCCCCCGCCAAAAGTGACTAGATTGTAGTGGGTTGCAAATCCCCACTCAACACCAAAAAGCTAAGAAGCTAAGTGGATGGCTGGGAGCCACCAAGACTGAACATGTGAAACAAGTCTAAAGCAGCCCTTGAATTCGGGTCTCCGACTTGTGAACCATTTTGCGGTCATTTGACTGTCTGGCCAGACAATGGAGCAAGATCATAGGCCTGGCCCGTCAGAAAGAGTTCAACGCTCGGATGCATGCGACATCAAAGCCCTTCACCAGAAAGGGCGTCCTGTTCATTTTGGTGATGGGTGATCCGTTCAATTCACTGCTCAGAAGTGGAAAATCACGTGACAAAGAGGGATGACCATCCCCTATGACTCAATGACTGTAAGCGCATTCTTGGGTATGTTTCTGTTTTGTTCTGCAACAGGCCAGCGGGAAAATCCCAGCACCCCAACCACTGCTTTTTGTGCAGTACCTGGGACTTTGGCATGGAAGAGAAAACAGTTGTTGGGTCATTTGGCCGTGTACCGAAAATGGAACCCTGGCACATAGAACCAAGGACTAAAACCTGCGGGCCAATTCCTGGTGCCCAGAGGCTCCTGGGCCCTCCTAGGGAGGGTCCGGGGCCCTCCTAGGGAGGGACCGGCCTGTTTGTCGGATACGGGGCCCTCGTGTGGGCCCCCAGTGCAATCCGGACGGGATGGATGGAACCAAAATGGCCTCGACTCACACCTCCCCTAGCATTACTATCCGACGGTTATCCGACGCCGGGCCCTCGTAGACACTCAGTTTTGGGGGCCCCGGCCCAATTATCCGACGGTTATCCGACGGCTATCCGACGGCCATCCGACGGTTATCCGACGGATATCCGATGGTAATCCGAAGCTTGTTTGCAGCCCAAAGGCCCCAACAAAAAAACAGCCCGAAACCTCCTACGACCGCGAGGGCCCGCGAGGGCCCAAGGGCCCGAAACATGAGTTGGGAGCGTCTGGGAGTAGAGTTTCTATGTTGTTTGCTGTGTGTGGCTGCCATGCTTTTTGTGCAGTTGGATTTTTTCTAGGCCTGTCACTGGCCTGCTTGGTCGGGCTGCTGATTCTCTTGAAGTGGGATGTTTGTAGTAGGGCTGTGTGGATGTCGCTTTCTTGGCGCAGTTGCTTTTCTTCAGGGCCTGTCGCTGGCCTGCTTGGTCCGGCTGCTACTTTTCGTGAAGCAATATTTTTCCGAAGGGCTTCTAGTTTGCTTGTTCTGTGTGGCTGCCGTTTTTTTTGGTTGTTGTGCAGTTGGTTCTTTTCAAGGCCTGTCACTGGCTTGCTTGGTCTGCCTGCTGCTTTTCGTGAAGTGTTTTGTTTCCATTGGGTTTCTTTGTGGCTGCCGCTTTGTTTCTCAGTTGGGTTTTTCTTCAGGGCCTGTCACTGGCCTGCTTGGTCGGCCTGCTGCTTCGAGATTGTTGCTTTTTGCTTGCTGTCTGTGGCTCCCGTTTTTTGGTGAAGTTGGATTTGTTTCAGGGCCTGGCACTGGCCTGCTCGGTCGGGCTGGTGATTTTAGCAAAGTGGGATTTGTTGTAGGGCTTCGAATTTGCTTGTTGTGTTTGAATGCCACTTTTTTGGTGCAGTTGGATTTTGTTCAGGGCCTGTCACTGGCCTGCTTGGTCGGCCTGCTGCTTTTTGTGAAGTGGGATTTTTCCCGAGAGCTTCTAGTTTGCTTGTTGCGTGTGGCTGCCGCGTTCTTTTTTGTGTTGTTTTTATAGGGGCCTGTCACTGGCTTGCTTGGTCGGGCTGCTGCTAATCATCGCTTTTCGTGAAGTTGGATTTGTTTAGTAAAGCTTCTAATTTCCTTGTTGTGTGTGGCTGCCATGTGTTTTGTGCAGTTGGATTTTTGCTCAGGGCCTGTCACTGGCCTGCTTGCTTGGGCTGCTGCTTTTCGTGAAGTTGGATTTATTTAGTAGAGCTTCCAATTTGCTTGTTGTGCGTGGCTACCATGCTTTTTGTGCATGCTGTCACTGGCCTGCTTAGTCAGGCTGCTAATTTTCGTGAAGTGGGATTTTTGTAGTAGGGCTTCTAATTTGCTTTTTGTGTGTGTGGATGCCGCTTTTTTGGTGCAGTTGTTTTTGTTTCAGGGCCTGTCGCTGGCCTGCTTGGTCGGGCTGCTGCTTTTCGCGGTCTTGTTTTTGTTTAGTAAAGCTGCTGCTTTGTTTGTTGTGTGTGGCTGCCATTTTTTGTTATTGCGCAGTTGGATTTTGTTCAGGGCCTGTCACTGGCCTGCCGGGTCTGCTGTTTTTCGTAAAGTTGGATTTTTTGATTTTCTAAGTAAGAGTTGAATTGCTGGTTGTCCGCGGCTGCCGTTTTTTTGTTCAGGGTCTGTCGCTGGCCTGCTTGGTTGGGCTGCTGCTTTTCGCAAAGTTTTTTTCTGGTTTCTAATATGTTTGTTGTCTTTGCCGGCCTGTTTTC